CATCCTCCTCAGACAACACATCAGTATGATCATCTAGATATGAACTGAGGAAGAAAGATTAAGGATTACTGAACAGAGCCTTGTGTGTGGACTGGAAAGACTAGTTCGAGAGGAGCTGTGGGTTCCAACAGAGATTTGAAACTTTTGTGTTCTGAATCTGAAGCACTTGCACAACACGCCAGATAAGATACAGCAGTGCAGCCTCAAGTTGGAATTCATGTTACAATTACGAAATTGCCAGGGCTATCAGAAGACACAATAAAATTGAATGATTAAAAATACATTCTATTTCTTATGCGAATAAGGTTGTAGAGTAAAAAGAAACCACTACAATTTGTCATACTTTTGGATAGAGCTTGAACCAAGAAGAAATTGGTTTTTTTGTTTTGTTTTGCTGGAGCCTCATAGCAAGTAAGGACATAAATTCAGGGGCTAGGCCAGAGATTTAGGTCATTGTGTGTTTGGATATAAGCTTAAAGATGTACATGGTGACCATATTCTGCATTTTTGTGTACTGAAGAGTACAGGTGCCAAGTAAATGGAGACACTGTCTTGGGCCTTAAGGGCAGCTTGTTAAGACAGAAAAATGTCCAGACTAACTAAAGGCAGAGCATTTTACAAGTCTCAGTTTGGGTTCTACAATAATAACTGGGTATTCAATCCTGAAATGCAAAACTCCCTCCTCATCTCATAGTTATATACACTTTAACTAGGAATAGAAATAGTGTTCAAAATGCAAATAGACCAGAAGCGTTTGTCAGTGCAGTTACAAATGATTGGCTGATTCATTTCCCTGGAGTCAGAGCACATTCAGGAAGGTTCAAGAAAGGTTTCTAAGGATTCTAACCAGTCACCATCTCTTCAAAGGCAGATACTGATGTACCTGACTATTCTTTCAAGGGACCAGAGAGGCTGGGCATTGTACAGAAACACAGAAGTCGCTGTCCCAGAATCTGGAATTGCGCACAGAGCCTAACTGGGGTACTGTAAATGAAATGTTTCCCCTGTCTTCCCTCACTGATTCACAACACCACAGGCGGTGACATAATGACACATTTGAGTTTCTTCATCACTTCTGGGTGCACACTTTGGGTAAAGATGCATTCATCCAAAGGAAGGGAATGCAGTGCTTAGAAACAAAAAGGGAAAAAAATTAGGTTTATTTCAACACTAATACTCCATTCATTCAGAAGTTTATATTGCTGTTTTAGTGTTCTATTGCTGTGAAGAGACATCATGACTACAACAACTCATAAAAGGAAACATTTGAGGGCCTGCATAGAGAGGTGTAGTTCATTATCATCCTGGTGGGAAACATGGTGCTGGAGAAGTAGCTGAGCACTACATCTTGATCTGCTGGCCAGGCAAAAGACAGACTCTGGGCATGACATAGACTTTTGACATCTCAAAGCCTGATCCCAGTAACACACTCCCTCCAACAAGGCCACACATCCTACTGAAATAGTGTCTCTTCCTGGTGACCAAGTATTCAAATCTACAAGCCTCTAGAACCATTCTCATTCAAACTACCACAATTATCAAATTCTCCCATATGAAAAATTAAGAATTGATACTAAATGAAAACATATGTCCCCTCAAAATCACGTATCCTAAGTTCAAGGATAAGCAAGCGGTCCTGTTCTACAGTCTTGGTGTCCTTGGTGAGCAAAGCATGGCATACAAAGGCTCTCTGTGTCTTCACAGGCAGATTGTTTCCCTACAGCATTTCTCAAACTTACTCAAATGTCAAATCAGGACTATACAAAAGAAAATTAGCAACTTCCTCAGAAAACTGGTCCGAAGACATCATTCTCCCATTCAAAATCAAAAACAAAAGCAAAAGTCAAATTGTCTTGATATCTAAACTGAGTGTTGAGTCCAACACTCAGCTTGAGCATCACACACAACTCAAATACATTGGGATTCAGGGTCCTCTGCCAACTCTGGGAACCAAGGAGAGGGAAGGAAGAGAAAGTAGAAATCAGAATCCTCCTGCAGCACATCCTGGAGGTCCAGGCAGAAGATTGTCTTTGCTCCAAGAAGAGTCTCTAGAGAAGACTGCATAGCAACTCTTCCTAAGACAGGCAGGCAGAGCCCAGTCACTTTTATTTGGAAAATGGTATACAGTAATATAAAAGAATGAACGGCTCATTCTCCTTGGAGGCTTTGATCTTGTGTCTTTCTTGGGTTTCTATTACCATGATAAAGATTGTGACTAAAAGTGACTGGCCAAGAAAAGGATTCTTTTCATTTTACAATGACAGTCCTTAATGAAGGGAAGTCTGGGAGCAACTCAAGAACCTAGAGGCAGTAACTGAAGCAGAGGCCATGGAGGAATGCTACTTACTCACTCATTCTTCAGGGTTTGCTCAGCCCACTCTTATACCACTCAGGACCACCTGCAGGGGATAGGGGTAGGCCCCCACTTGAGTCATTAGTCAAAATATCTACCACAGACTTGCTCACACGGAATCTGATGGGGGCATTTTCTCAATTGAGGTTCTTCTTCCCAAATAACTTGAGCTTGTTCAAATTAATAAAAACAAAACCCAGAAAAGATAGTGAATTCAATTCTGGCTATATTCTCCACTTAGGACTTGCACTTTGCAAAACTTGGCTTCAGTACTCAATTTTGTCAATTAAAACAGTCAACCATGTATTCCTTTAGCAACCAAACTCCTCCCCTTGAATTCCCAAAAAGGAGCCGACTCCACCACCACCTCCAACCCCCACCTGAATCACCACCACCCTGCCCAATAATCAGACTCTTGATCATTTTCTCACTGCTCTATGACCCACTACTATCTAGCAATGTACCTCTTTCTGATCTGCACTATTGCTTTGCTTTGAATAGTTTTTTTTCTTCATAATCTGTATAAACCTTTGTTTCAACTCTTTGGATAAGGGCCAAGAACCTGGAAACAGCGAGTCCAGACTCTGATCACAGATAACAGTCTCAGAAGCCAAGGGACTTCCCATTCTGTGGACAGGACAGAGAGCCCCTCTGCAAGGCTCTCCACTGATAAAAAGGACAGTTTGAAGGTGAGAAAGAGTGACAGAGGAGCACCACTCACTGAGTTTGGAAAACTCATAAATCTATAATGACATTCACAGGAGTTGGGGTGGTCCTAATTTTTCACCATTTAAAATGCCATCAAATGCAGTCTTCAGTCTTAATACAGGTACTTAAGGCAAAGGAGAACAGGTATCCAGTAAGCATTTTATTCCAAGAGAGCCAAATGCTCCTATTGACAGGAACCTGTTAATAAATATATAAGGAATTTCCTGAACTTCTCATGAACTTTTGGTGAAGACAAGAGTGATGTTAACAGCACCTGCTGACTGTGTGATAGGGAGCAGACACAAGGCTGGATTCTAAGAGGAGGGGAGGAAGAAAAGGGTGAACAGAGAACATGAATGAAGTTAGTATTGACTTGGACTATTAACTTTAATGATAAGCCAGGAAAGACAAGTCTATTAATGTAGACTGAAATGAGAAACTGCAGCTTATCAAGGGTACTTAGATCTTAATGATTTGTCCAGAATCTCTTCAAATAAATTAACACAAAATTCTCATCAGTGATTAGAATCCAAAGAAAACTTCCCCTATAGGGACTTCTTTTGGAGATGTGATTGATGCTTTTCCCAATGGAAGACTGAAAGTATAACTTTGCCTTTAATCTGCTTTGCTTTGATAATTGCTAGAAACTCAGTTCAGAGACATGGTAGGAAAGTCCTGTAATTTTTTTAGGACAACAGAAGTTGATGTTTACAGCTACTCATTTGTAGCAAACCCTTTAAGGAATTGGCAGCAGCTGCACTGAACTGTGGCTGCAATCTAAGGACTTAGCCAGAATAAATCACATGCATTTTAAAGAAAATTGTTACTCTAAATTCTGTATCTCTCTCTCTCTCTCTCTCTCTCTCTCTCTCTCTCTCTCTCTCTCTCTCTCTCTCTCTCTCTGTGTGTGTGTGTGTGTCTCATATGTGTGTGTATGTGTGTGTGCATGTGTGTGCATGAATGTGTGCATACATGCATGCCCACATAGTCCAGAAAAGGGTTTGAGATCTCTCAGAGCTGGTTTACAGATGATCATAACTATCTAACACAGGCTCTGGCAGCCAAACTCTGATTTTATGCAAGAGCAATAAATGCTCTTAACTGCTGGGTTATCTCCCCAGGACCAATTGCCTCCATTTTTCATGTTATAAAATATACTAAGGTTTTTCATTCAATTTTGCACACAACTTTTGGAATAAAAGACTCAAGTATAGTCTCTTTTAGGCTAGGGCAGCAATTTTCTAATGCAACAATTTAAAAAATTATTTTTGTTTTAGACAGGGTCTCACTGTGTAGCCTTAGCTGGCTTTAAACTCACTGTGTAGACCTGTTTAGCCCTGAATTCACAGAGATCTCCTTGCCTCTACCTCAGAAGTACTGGGATTAAATATCCTCTCCACCACACCCAGCAGAATTGTTTTCAATATCTCTTTCTCTCTGGAAGGCTTAGCTCATTTTCCCTTCTTCCTGCAAGTGCTATTTACAATACCAAAGAGTATTACTTTTGTAACTTCCCACCCCCACTTTTCCCTCTACTTGGATTGATGCATAAAGAAGATTATGACAAGGGTCCAGTGTAATCATGATTAGAAAGAAAAAATAAAGACAGAAAACTTTTCAAAATATTAATGTTGACCATGGAAAGAGGAGCTACATACCTGTAGTTCTTAACCTTGGGAGGTACAGGTAGGAGTTCAAGACCAGCCTGGACTGAGATTCTATCTCTACAACTCATCAGTATAGACAACAAACAAAAAATATCAACCCAAGCCGGGCGGTGGTGGCGCACGCCTTTAAATCCCAGCACTCGGGAGGCAGAGGCAGGCGGATCTCTGTGAGTTCGAGGCCAGGCTGGACCGATAGCCTCCAAAACAATACAGAGAAACCCTATCTCGTAAAAACCAAAAAAAAAAAAAAAAAAAGATATCAACCCAATGATAAGCTGTTTCTATCAATTGAAACCCAGAGAGTTAGTATCAATCAATGCCAAGACATGCTTTAAATTAATTCTAAAACCATTATGTATGGAGTGGTGTATGTATGTCTTAATGAATATGCTCTCAATTTAGCATTTAAATTTCACTTCCTGCTGTCTAACCACACTGAATTCCATGATATGACAGTATTAATAGTGATATTGGGTCATCTAGTCAGAGTTTTCAGGGTATTTCCTCTGTGGTGAAATCAATGCATAGAATTAAGTTTTTTCATTGTTATCCTGAAGTTAAGCTAATTGGAGAGTACTTCGTGCCAGGATGTTTCTGTGGATGGTCAGTTCTCTCAAATGTTCATCAGCAACAGTATTGATGGTGAAATTTTCCTGAAGTTCTGGTAGCAGACAATTTCTCATGGATTCGTTATATAGCATCAGGATCTTTGGTTTTTGCAGGGTATCTCTCATGTGGCTCTTCTTCTAGCTCTCCTTAGTTCAAGGGTTCCTGTAATCTTCATTAAAATAATTCTGATAAGATATAGAGAGAATAGCACAGACGAGAGTTAGAGTTCATTACCACTACCATTAATACTCTAAAGAGTGGACAATGCGTTGATTCACATTTTACGCAGGCTCAATACTGTTTCTAATGTTTCTATAACAGGCTTCTTTCAGAGGTCTATTATCTCACCTACATGACTGACAGGCCCATTTAGATTAATTTTAATTTTTATTACATTTATGCATTTAGTTTTATTTGCACATATGGGGACCAAGGACACATGGGTGTCATGATTCATGTATGAAGGTCAGAGGAAAATCTGTGGGAGTCTTCTTCCAGCATGTAGGTTCCAGGGATTGATCTCAGGTTGTTAAGCTTAGCAACAAGTACCTTTACCAGCTGAACCATCTCACTAGTACCTAATCAATGCTTGCTGGATGAAACAACAGTCTGTTATGTGTGCTTGTTTATCTGGAAGTCTCTCCTTGGCTAGAATCTAAATGCCAAGTCTCCAGCCAGAGTAAAAGCTACAATTCATATCACATTCTTTTAAACACGCAATCCTGCAGTCTTAGTCCCTGTTGTTATGAGTGGCTGATTCTGAGGGGCAGATCCATTCCCAGTGCCCTTCAAGCTTGTGGATATGCGACTGCCTGTTTTCAGTGCACCCACCATGACGTATGAATCAGCCCGTAGCCGTGACTCTAAAGAGCATCCACATCACTTGATACCAGACACTCTTCAGCATTTCCAGCAGCCAGGTTAAAGTGTAAATAACAGGTCCCAAGTGTGCAGAAGGTCTGCCTGTCAGGAACAGAGAGAGGGACACCCTGGAGTAAAGTCATATCTGGGTCTAATTATGAAACCCTTTCTCTCCTATTTACTTCCTGACATTTCTCTCATCTGTCTCCCTACTTAACTCACATAAGAATTGCCTAAGGTGAAAATTATCACACCCTCATTCTTCTCTGAGTCTTATTTCATTTATTTTTATCAAAGACACGTGATCACAAATGAAAATTTATAGTTGTGTATGAAAAAATGAAGCAGACAAACTTGCCATAAAAATGATGTACCCCATCCCACCTCTCCTCACTCAAGGTTTACAGAACTCAGCACTTTCACTTGTTAGTTGCCAGTAGAGAGAGTAACCGCTTCCTCCTTCTAACTCAGACTTGAAAGCACCAAAGCCTACAGAAGAGGCAGGGGGTATAAATTTCAGAATGGGCTATACACAAGTAAGACCTTCTCAAGATAATATAGCACAGTAAACTGAGAGCCTGGTCTTGTCTATGTGTAATTAAAGGTACTCAGTACACTAGGAATCTAGCCCACAGACCTGGCCTGTGGCCTTGTTTGAAATTGTTTATATCACTTTAGTTATTTATATCTAGGATACAGTACCAGTTCTCCATTTTGGAAACAATTCAGAATTTTCTAATACAAACATCCTCTTCTGCTATCCCTCTTTTCAGATTTAGCCAATTATGTCTCTGTATTTATTAAGATTCTAGCTTATGGCCCATCAACTGTTGTTATTTTCTTCTTTCCTGTTCTTTGAGGGTAACCAAGGTTGACCTAGAGCTCACCATGCAGCTTAAAGCATCCCACTGCTTTCTTAGCCCAAAATACCAAATTTCTCCAAACAAAAGCATAGACAGGTCTTTGAAAGCAATAATCCCTGGTACCAACTTCTGTATCAGTGAGCATTTCTATTGCGGTGAAGACACACCATGACCACTGCAACTCTTATAAAGGAAAAACATTTAATTGGGGTGACTTATATTTTCAGGGGTTTAGTCCATCATCAAGGCCATGCCTCCTAACAGTGCCACTCCCTTTGGGGGCCATTTTCTTTCACACCACCCCAATCTTGATGAATGTTCCCAAGGAATCTGATGCTATTACTTTAATGTTTTCGTGAAAGTCTCTGAGGGACCACTGTTTTTGTTTGTTGTTTTCTTGGTTTGAGACAGGTTTCACTATGCATCTCCTGCTGACTCCAGCTTGGGATCCTTCTGCCTCAGCCTTCTGAATGCTAGCACTACACGCACAAGTTATCATGGCCCGCTGATACCACTGTCTTTCACTAAGTTCCTACAGTAAACCCGGCAGCCAAGGGCAAAGAAAACCAAAGTCACATGTATAAAATGCCTCCTTACTAAATTTTACTTTCAGATGGGCATTCGTGGCACACACCTTTAATTCTAGCCCTTGGTAGGCAGAGGCAAGCAAATCTCTGTGAGTTTGAAGCCAGCCTGGTCTAAAGAGCAGGACAGGCTCCAAAGCAACACAGAGAAACCCTATACCCTATCTCAAAAACCCCAAAATAAATAAATAAATAAATTATACTTTTCAAGAAGCCTGTTTAAAACAAAAGGAGGAAAGTCTAGCCAACCTGTGTCTTAAAAACCAAGAGATCTCAGTAATCTTTGAAATGGTCACTATAATTTTAGTTGCTGTTTCTGCTCTCCCTAGCCTTATTCTGTACTACTTTCCAGAGGAAAAAAAATTCAGTTAACCTGTGTGCTCCAAGAACACAGATAGGGAAATAACACCTCCCCTCTCACACACACTATTTTGTTCCCAGCAATAAATTTCTACTTACCTGAAAAGTAGGCCATTTCCCTTCATCTGCAGTGATTTTTCCCTACATTACACCATGCAGAAAAGACAGGGTTGGGATCCATTCTGATCCAAGCCAAAGCACATTGTTTCTACACCAGTGCATCAAAGCAAAGGTCCCTTATTTTAACTTATTCTGAGCTCATACACAAAGATGGGGGCCTATGACAATTATGTCCATGCTCACTGGCAGAAAAAAGCCTCAGTTTTTGCACCAAAATAGACTTCTAAACATATCAGAACAACAACAAAAACATATACAGGTGGGACAACAGAAACCCAAATAAAATCCAGGTCCCCCTAGAATCAGCTGCACCCATCTCTGGTACCCACTCCTCTGCTCAAGAAGACTAACTTTACTTTCACTTTGCTCTGAGCTATTTTCCTGTCTTTTAATTCTTTAAACCACCAAGATATTGGACCCACCAATCTTGCTGGGATTATTATTTTTGGAATGAAGTATTGCCTGATTCTAGAATAAAGAAGTCATTTATATTTCAAAACTAAATTTGTTATAATTTTGTCTCTAGACATCTTCAAAGAGCCATTTCTAATGAAGGTAAGTCTAACAAAACCCAAAATTCTCATTTGTTTGTGGGTCACTATCTTCTCCAGGTTATACCTTAAACAACCTGTTTCTCTTTGCTGTTCTAAAATGTTATTCAGTCTTTGAATATGAAGATATTTCTCTCAGCTCGGGGGAAATGCCTTCTATTCTTTCTCTGATCATCTCTTTGTTTTCTAGAATTGTTACTGTTATATTTGCTCTACAAACTAATTCCTTAATCTTTATTTCTTCCAAATGTTCTTCATATTTGTCTGTTGCTTTTACCCCAGTCTTTGAATGCTGGATGTCTGGAAGAACTCTTCCTATTCAAGGCTTTCTGTGATTTTTCTAAAGATAGTGGTGACTAGGTATTACTATGTAGCCTATGTAGGTTTCAAACATGTGATCCTTCTGCCTCAATTTCCTGAGTGCTGACATTACAGGAGTGTACCAAAGATCTGGGAAGTACTTACAGTTTCAAGCAGTTGTGTATTCCTTAGTTTTGATTTATTCTTGGATCAATCCTCTCTATCTTGGTTTTTCTTTTTTATACAGATGTTTTTCTTTATGTGTCTGCTACTTCATGATTAACTGTGCACACAGAGAGCTGTGAAGGTTGTTTTTCTGGGGCTTCCATATTTCTCTCTACTGTGACATGTGGGTCTGTCTTCCCCTTGAGATCATTGTCTAATTGAGACACAGACAATAAAGTGTCTCCAAACTGGGGGCAGCCATCCCCTGCACTTCTAACACTCAGCTCCCCTACCCTTTCCAGTCTACAAATTCTACTTCACACTGAACAATACCTCTTTCCTATACTTCACCTCCTGAATATTCTTGACTGCTCTTTTTTGTTTGTTTTTGACAAAAAAAACCACTTAAACTTCCAATATTCTCTACCTTCCAGAACTTTCTAATTTATCTTTCATTCTCTTTACTCATGGGCTTATTCATTAAAATAAATAATAAATAGACAAAACAAAAATAAAATCATTACCTGACGAAAGAAGAGTAGGTGACCTAGTTGTTCATAATTTGAAGATATAGCCCATCATTGTAGGGAAGGCATGGAGGCAGCAATGTGAGGCAGATGGTTCACACTCCATTCACAATCAGAAAGCAGAGACATGAATTTTGAAGTTATGCTCTCATTCCAGAACTGTAATTTATGGAATGGTGCTGCCTACACTTAGAGCAGGTTATTCCACTTCATCCATGACACATCCAGAGATTTTCTCCTAGGTAATCTTAGATCCCTTCAAGTTAACAGTCTACCTACAGTAACCACCACACATTGTTGTCTTGTGTTCTTGAATAGCATGGAAAAGCCAACCAGTTTTCAATCTCTCCTATCCTCTTCATCTCTCTCCCCTCCTCTGATGTTATAATTTAATATAGTTGTCCAGTGAACATGGAAGAACTTTTGATATACATTCTAGAAAGAAAACCTATTAACCACAAGGACAGTATTTATGGCCAAGATCATGCTCATTTAAGTCACAATTTCTGGTAAAATATAACCCAAAGTAGCTATAAATGTGAAGGTTTTGAAAGTTGTTGTTAATAAATAAGACACGTTTTTAAAGTTCAAGCAAGGCATAAATGACATACTGGGTCAAAATTGTCATTGCTCCTTGACTTTGCTAATAAGATGCTTCATCTGGCATCAAGGATTTCTCCTTCACATTCAGTATTCTGACCAACTAACTATGTCAGAAAGTAAAATAACCTTATTGATTATCATCCCATAGACAGCATTTTCTGTGTCTCATAGAGAGAAAACCAAAACATGTACTTTTTAGTTTTTCCTTTTTATTTTTTTGAGACAAAAGTCTCATTATGTAGCCCAGACTTGGCTTTAACTCTGAAATATTTTGCTCAGCCTCTACTGAGTTGGAATACAAGTGTGTGACACCATGCCTGGCTCAATTTTGAAGTCCTGTAGACTCATTCTCTCCCACTGTTTATGATTGCTATTATTAGTCATCTTTTATATGTATATTTTTGGTATTTGAAGTCTTTAACACTCTAACATGGTTCCTTCAAGATTATTTACTTTATCACTTGTATTACTGAAGGAATTTAAAAGAAATATATTCTGATGTTAATACAAAAGGAAATGTTAAAGACAGTAAAATTGTACTGTAGAAAAAGGCTACAGATTGTAACAGTCCATTTTCTGTTGCAGGAGTACAATACTACAGACTGAGTGAGTTAAAAACAAAGGAGGTTTATTTTGACTGAGGTTTGGAAGAACATATAAGGTTGTTGGCAGCAGAGGCCAAAGGAATCCCAAGACATGGGGAGGATTCAGTCATGGAGCTCCATTCATCAATCCACCTCTAAACATTATAGCAAATTAAGTTTTATCCTCTTAAAGCCTCACTTTGGGGTCTCATTTTCAGCCAACAAAGCTCTAGGGACACACTCAATATATTTCAGACCCATAAAATAGATTTAAGAAATATCCCAATGTCACTTGTTCTGAGAGATGTAAAGAAATGTCTCATCACTCATATAAAAAGGATGCTGAGAATCCAAAGAAAGGAGACCATCCAAGCCCAGCTTGGTGAAGCAGTGGGTTTATTATAGTTACTTATAAGATCATGGATGACTCAAAAATCACCAGAAA